AATCACATTTGCAGAAAAGGGTTATTTTAATTTTACTATTGAAAAACTTAGTTATGGCAATAAGGACTGAGTGGAGTTCAACTCGGTCTGTAATCAGACGAGTGAGTAATGTGATCAGACGACCGCGAAACTGGAGTCCGATTTGTCACTCACGAGTATGGTATCAGGCCAAATTAGACAACTGGAAGTCCTATTAGCAATTAATTAAAACTATGACAAAATTTGAAAGTTGTGCATGTTTGGTATTAATGTTAGTGTAAATTTGACTAGTTTTGCAAGTTATCGCAATCATGTAAGTCAAGCTATCATTTTAAGTAATGCTCGTATTTACTGAAATTTGTAATTACTCTATAAGTAAATATAAACATAATCTCTACATATAACGTACAAAGCAAAAATATTTAATTCGGATCGGGTCAGCCATACCCTCTGTTTCTAAACCAACAAGGCAGGATGGTATGATTGAGGCGTCAGGAGTGAGAGCGCCATTCCACGGAACAAAGAAATTGAACCTTGTTTGTTCCCCCAGAGGTTGTAGGATGTAGTCATCGCCAATGTATCCTAAGACGCCATCTGGCTGATACTTTCCTTGAACCGTCCCTGATATGTGAAGAAGGATTCAGTACCATTCAGTTGATGCATATTTGGTGGACAGTCTAGCGTTGTTATCGAATTGGGGCGGCTTAAGGTGTCAAATTGCGTCTGACCACATTTTTAAATAATATTAGAAAAGCTCAATATTTATTGTAAAAATGTTCATAGAAGGAATCAGCCGATTCTGTCGGTATAAATTTTGTATTGGGCCGCTATTCCTGGTGTTCACTGGTTTAGTTTGGTACAAAGCAAAATTCTACTCATAATCTTTTATCTCGGTTCTTTTTTTTTGGCATCGCATTACAAAATATGCCAGCGGCTTCGCAAGTTCTGTGAAAGAAGCAGTGAGGTCATGACAGAAAGATCTCCAACCGAGCGTGGTCTATCTTACAGCGAGCATTGTCAGTCTTAAACAGAGCTCAAACCAACACCTTGGCATTTTGAGTTAGAATGCAAACCAATCACCCAATAAAGCTGGATCCCCATGAATTACTTACCTATAATAAACCAATCCACTGGTGGATCCCGCAAACCGTCACATAAAGTGAAATCCAGTATTATCTGGGCGGAATAATTGCCAGGTTCCGTTACTAAAAACAGCACCTCGTACATGCCGTTTTCGAGGTCCCAAACTTGCGGCGCAATTGAGGCTGGGCCTTGTCTGATATAAACTCGCCATGCATCGCCCCCAAAGGTTTTTATGTCGCCCTTCTTTGTCACGGATTGAATAAAGAAACGACTAAATTGACCTTGTGAAAAATCAGGACAGCGAAATAATAAGAAGATTTTCAGCTTAAGCCATCTTGCTCATGATCTTAACGGAGATGAAAGCGTCAATTTAATTTTAATGTGCTAATCAGTTTCGACTATTTTTTTCAGGTATCTGCAGATATTTATCTCGGTTAATGGTAATCAACAACGTTGACCAGAATATTACAATCGATTAAGGATATCTGATTGAAGGTAATATTCTGCGTTTAGCATCAGTACCCCTGAAAGTTGTTTTATTCTTTATTTCACCTGCAGGAAGTATCTCCCATTTTGTGATAAAACTTTTCCTTGCATCACTTCTCAACTCTGAGTTTATTTCTCTTTGGGACCAGGCAACTCGACACTCACATGGTCTAACCATTCCTTCCCAGTCTACACGCCATTTCTGCATTCTACACCACTGGTAGCGAAAATTTCTGATTTCATTTAAATAGGATATGTCATAATAGGATAGCGTCCACATGATGCGAAGAATTGTCATGGCAGCTCCAAAAAGATAGACGGTGACGAGGCGTGGACGAAAAAGGCGCCCAGTTAGGCATCTCTTTACTACAACGCATTCAAGAAATGCGGAATTCTATTCAAATAATGCAAATCTAAGTAATAGATTAAAAAGTGATGATTTCAAAACTGGCAGGTTACTTCACAGAGAAGGATAAACCAAGTACGCACAAGATAACAGAGAGGTCATGGATCGAGATTGCTGTAGGCATGTAAAAAAACAAGTTAGTGTTACTGACTTTGGAGGCTGGTTCACGTAATCCGAACAGAATCCCCTCAACAGATGCTGGCAAATAACTTAATAAACGACCTACTCACGACATTTACACAACAGACGACCCAAAAAGAAAGACCTAACATTACTAACGGAACGCACTGACCAATCACCACCGAATTGAGTCTTCCAGCCAATACTTCACCGCAAATCGTAGAACCGAAAATATAAAACTCGGCCTCTTCAAGCAACTATGATGATGACTACTGTTCTGTTAAGGTTGTCGAAACTTGATTCGTTCTCAGGATTAGCCATACCCGGACGATTAGAATACACCATCACGTTTGCATCCGGGTTCCAAGCTTTTCATGTACGACTAATTCTTTCGAATAAGAATGAGTTTTTGTTCTGAATTTTCATCTTAGTTACATGAAATAACCATATTTCCTAATGTTCGCTTAAATGGTATTCTGACGCGGGAAACGTTCTTTGAAATCTGTGTCAAAACAAATTTGTCAGAGAGGCTACACTTACAAAAAAAAAAGACGACAAGTTTGTTTTCGGCTTTTAAATTGTTTTGAGGAGCTTTCTCAAATTACACGGATATTTTTTGTGCAATGTAGAATGTAAATCGAAAATGAAAATATTGTACGTTCATTCCGTAAATCTAAGGAGCACTGCCCGACCTGCATGCGGCAAGAATTTCCAGCTCGAGAAAATAGCATTAAACATTTAGCTTTAAAAGTTACTTTCTTACTTTAAATACATGACAGTTCAGAAGAGAAGTACTCTAATCAAATAAAGCGCTCTATTCAAGCAAAAGATGCTGAAAAGGCTCTTAAGAGAAGTCTTAAGTCACTAACTTTGAGGAACAAGCTCATACCTGCTTGATTGGGATTTAAAATCGCTGCTTTGGAGGGTAACAAAAATTGGTGAAGGAATGAAAAAAAGTACGGCATCGATGACTTCAAGGGTATATGGGCATATTTTCTTAAAAGCTGAAGGGAATTAAAATACTCCAGTGATTCTGAAAAGCAAACTGTATTTCTTTAGATTAGTACCACTTCAGAAAGAACGATAGAAAAAGGGAAAATACGCTTCTTGTTTTGCGCAATTTGAAAATGCAAAATTGTTTAAATAAAAAGATTTTGTATTATGAAGTGTATTTCTCCTTATTGTCTCTATGGAAACCGGCCTGGTACAAGAAACCTTCATAATATCTCAAAAAAGACCCATATACCTTTTTAAGGGTACGAAATCTCGGCGATTTGCGTTGACAAAGGCTCCAAATTGCGAAAAGGGCAATGGAAAAAAGCTGCACTTTACCAGCAAAATTTTACAGTGCGAGTAGAACCAGCTAATTATTATTCTAAATTCCTCCCTGACAGCTCGCTGTTGCTTGGAAAAATGTTCCATGAATTGAAAAAAGAAATTAAAAAAAGCTGCGTCACAATCTGTTTGTTCCGAAAAGACCATCAGAAGAATTGATACCCATAATAAAACGTCTGAATATTTTACAAAAACCGTCCCGTATTTTTATATAGGGCTCATGGCGCTACATTTATTTCAAGTGCTATGTGCACTGTATTCTGTTTAAAATGATGGCACTGCAAGGTAAAAACAGCGAGTTCGTCAGTTCAATCGTTTCCCGAAAAAAAGGAATGCAAGATAATTTTCCCCTTTGGTTGAAAATGGTGATTGTTAGATTTTTAAGTCCGGTAATATCACGTAGTATGGGCCATAATAAGCCAGCCGCGCTAGGTGGAAAACTCTGGTCCAAAACGAAAACGTTGTCCGTGACTTCCGTCCGGACGGTCTATGGAAAAATTCGCTCATTATGTGACCATACAGAACGTTTCAATGCTTGGAAAGAAATACGCGCAACCAAACTAATTCAGTTCAACTTCAAATTAAAGCGAAAATAGCCATTATCAGTCAAACTCACCCAGTATTGAATTTTCTCCAACAAAGGGCTAATGATCAAACCATCAGCTTTTCAAAATTTCACTACAACGATGTAACTCCTTTTATCAACCGATAACTGATAACCTTATCAAACTTGCCGAGGGGAACTTTCGGTGCAAAACTTACTCCTCTTGAACAATAAACCGGGCCTTATCTAATGGCTGATTTAATAACTTACTTGGACGAATCCACGTAGCGTTATAGTGGTTTCRTAATATCATCCCAGTTCATTGAACCTAAAAAAAGTCCGGAACAATGGAGTTCGTGATCGACGCCGAATGTTTACAAACTCAATCCTGATCTATAATACTTGTGAAAATTGAAACACCAACAAGTGGTAGCTATGTATGACGGCCAAAAAAGTGAAGTGTTAAGAGAGCTGGGTCAAGCGATTAATTTGCCGAGAGGATCTGGGAAGAAGTGAAAATCTCCGGAGCTATTCTAGTCACCATTGCCCATCGTGCTAAAAGTGTTTTTTTCAACCTGTCACCTTGTTAGTGGGATACTAGCCGATTTTATTGATTATTAACTACCTTGATTACGTTTTTCATAAGTCACATAAAGTACAAAACTTTTCATAAACTGCTTCGCGCTTGGCCATAAATCGAAAACCGAGGTTCCTTGACTTACAGTGCGGACCGAGAAAAACGAGGTTGGTAAGATATTTATCGTACCTCTTTGTTCAAACAGAAGGGATATAGATTATAATTCAGTTTTTTCAATTTTAGTTTTTGATGCTAAGAAAGAAGGATTTGCGATCGCTTGAACTTACTTTGTAGATCTTTTTGAGAAAGACAGTCGGCAAATAAGAAAGGCGAGCACGACGAAGATAACTCAAGCATGCCTTTTTTAAAGGCTTGAAATACTGTCTGGTTCGTGCCCGCCGTCATTTTGCTTGCAGACATCTTTAAAGAACTTGCCAAAGAGCTTGTCGAGAGTAGCAGCAGGTGTATTCAATAAATTAAAAATTGCAGTAACCTGCCGTTCGCAAAACCTCCTTAAAACTATTTACACTTGTACTTCTTTTTTCACAGTGCTTGACGACCCTTCGGCGGCGATGAAATCATCTAGTTCTCGATTCTAGTCATCTTCTTGTGCTCGTCTTTCTCAGTTAGTCGCTTGTCTTCCTCCAAAGTCTCCAGGAAACCAACTTGAAAGTTTGGGATGTCTGCTTCTGATTTTTGTTCTTTTACTTCGTTTGCGTACTTATCCTTTAAATTTTCAGTGCTTTGAAGTTAACCGCACTGATTTAAATGATTCACTTTTAATGTGATTCAGAAAACACTTACAAAAAAGATCTTTTGAAACAAAAAAATTAACGAATCGAAATCGACTTCTCTTAAAGGGAAGACCGCCTTTAACCCTTTTTTTCTCATCATCGAATTAATATTTGCTTCAACTTCCCATAATTTTAATTATGCAAGTGTAAATCCTGTAGAGTTTATTTCTAAAACGTTACTTGTTTTTATTTTTTATATTTAATGTCTAGATCAACAAAATCTTTGCTTATCTTTATATCTGATCTTTTCCATGGCATTCCCCAAACGCAGCTGTGAACCTCTTGGGAGCATCATACTTTGTTTCGTTTCTTCCTCGTTTCTGTGATTACGGGCTCATTGGTACATACGCTACACCGAACGTCATCAAGTGATTCGCATGGACCTACATACATAAATCTAAGAAGCCTTTTATTGATAACGATCGGCTATAGATCCTCATCTATTGCACTTCTAAAAGCGCACTTCACTCCTAGATTCTTCTTTTTTTTTTTTTTTGACATCTCGTCATCAACCCTATAGGCTTCATTTCTGCTTATCGCGAGACACCCAAGCTAACCTCCAAGCCTGGCTTTCAAAGTGTGGACTCGTCTATTTCAATTAGAAAGATTTCAACAATACTGAATTAAAAAGAAAACGCACGTTTAAACAACAGCAAATAGTTATTGAAAATTAATGAAAATCTTCGTGCAAACGAGGCCAGGTGGTGAATCTTTAGAAAACGAAGTCATCGTGCAGAAGAGCTGATTCCTTTCTAACCTCCACCCTTTCCTAATTTTCTCACTCTGTCACAACCAATTAAATCAAAGTTATGATACGTTTGATCAATGGCTCCACGGACGTTAAATTACCCACAAAAGCACTCGATTAATTTCATTTTCCTTGTTTTCGTGCCTATTCTACCCTGAGCCCTCAGGTTGGTCTTATGCGGAATTAAATGCCTGTTGTTACAATTGATGACATCTCTTCTGAACAAATGTATCCAATTTTTTGGGGAAAGAAGCCAATTCCCCCGACTGCAAAAGGAAAACTAACAAATAAATATCCTGACGCAAATGTGGAATGGGACAAAATTTTCCATCTACGATCTTGTACTATGCTGGATTCAAAGACCAGGGAATTTCGACACAAAATTTTGAATGGCATAGTCTTTACAAATGAAAAACTTTAACTTAGGCTTAGAGGTAATCCTAGTCACGTTGAAACATGAAAGGAGTCTTATATAACTCATGCGAGTCATGATCAGTATTGAACAAGGCTTCATTTTAATTAATAACCTTATATAATCGCATAATAAGGTTAACATTACATATACATTCTCCTTCCACTGAACTTCACTTGTTACTTAAGGTAATTATAAACACTTCATTAGAAGGAAAATGATAATGTACTAGAATGTTTTTACATAATTTAAATGGGAACTTTTCAATTTATTTCCATAAAGACGAGACAACGAGTGCTAAAAATACAAATGTATGATCATTTACCTTAACCACTATTGTAAAACTAGCTAGAGATTAAATTTAGGTAGAATTTCAAATACATTACTATGTACTCCTTAACAATTTTTCTGCAGTCACATGACAAAACCATAATTTATGCCAAATTTTATTTACTCTTCATATTTTACTTGATATTACAGTAAACAACTTAACACTATACAAATTGTAATTCTTCAAAATATAAAAGGCTTGTAAGTTAAACTGACGGTCACTATGAGGTAAATGCAAACGGGGAATTTCGGCAGTGTGCTTATTATTACTTTTGAATCAAGTACAAAAAAATTTACATCTTAAATGTTAAAAGATCAATACCACTTACGGTTTCATCTTAAATTATCCGAAAAAATAATGCTCGGTCAATTTAACCTAAAGGTTTCTAAATTTATACAATTGAAAACCTCCATTCAAGTCCCGATTCCAGTTCGGATCAAACTCAGTTGAGGAAAGAAGACCTCACTCTACAAAAACAGCGTTGCAATGGGAAAAAATCGCACAAGACCACGGAACTAACGCGTAGTAAAAGGAAACAGCACATGATAAATAAATTAATTAATGAATAAATAATAAATAATTTAGCAACGGACATTCCTCTGGGGGGCTCTTCTTGTCCACCGTATCCAGATCGAATTGGAATTTGCAATGTTGGTTTCTGCGGGGATCATGGACAGACTAGGGTTAAAGACACTGACATATGCAGCAGAGGTTACCGAGTTAAATAGAAAAATCTAAATTTCCAGGTAAAGGAAAATCACGAAACGCAAATGGTTGAAAGAGAAATAAGTTCAGTTAAAAATAGGTTATCAAAAAACAACAGGTTGAAACACGAGTTGAAAATGACCTTTTGGAACGCCGGTATATTAGACGTCCACTCGATCCAAACACCGACCGGTGTCTTCTCATTCAAAAAGATCCGTCATTAGTTTTTCTTTATGATTTTACAATATTTACAACATACCCAAACGATACGCACGACGACTTTGCAAAAACTTTTTAAATTTTTAATCGAATCCTGATAGGTTTTGAATTTTGCGTATCATTGATAAAACCAGGTTTGCGAACGAAATCCAAGATCTGAAAGTTATTTATGGAGTACATATATCTTATTAGACGTTTTGTTGTGTAGTATCGCTGAGTATTTTTACGAGTAATATAATTTATTACACGACTCGGGCAGTCAGAGGGCCAATGACTAAAATCAACCAATCAAAATGCTCTATTGCCGGTCAATATTCTCTAAGTATTGGACCGGGCACTGTCCCGAATGGTCCCGAATGATACCGCACTTGTGTCCCTTTGAACTTCAGACGTATAATAAATCTCTTATTAACCAAGCTTGCTCAGGACCGTACTGGAAGAATATCGGCCCTCGGTCTTTTTTTTATGGACCTCGCTGCGCTCGGTCCGTACTGTCAAGACCCCGGGCCGATATTTTCCCGCTACGGCCCTCGCGCTTGGTTAATAAGATATATATATATATCTAACTATATAATATTCCACGCAGAATATTATATAGTCGTCGTTTAATAAATTATGTGACTGGCTTTTGATTCGAAGGTCCAAGGAATATTCAATAAGTTGGTGATCTGAGTTAAAAATATCCTGTAATCCTTTAACATTAGAAATCTTGTCTGGAATATTTGAGAGCAGTAAATCCAAGAGATTATCATTCCTGGTTGGGAAATCGATAACTTGCCAAAGAAAATGATTCTTAATTGCCCTAGTAAAGAGGGTGTACATCTGACAATCGATAGAGGCAGTTACGGTAGCCCAGTCGACATTCGGTAGGTTGAAATCACCGACAATCAAAAGTCGATCAAATTTAGCCTTGGAGGCTTGGTCCAGAGATTTCATAAATTCTTTCAAATAGAAATAATGAGAAGAAGGAGGGCGGTAGAAAACTGCCATTAATAACTTTTTCGTGCATGACGGGCAAAGCTCGCAAACAACAATTTCAGCTCAGGTTTCGATGTCAAGCCTTCTAACACGTGGCACTGTATTACGAACTGCTAGCAGGACGCCTCCTCCACGTTTGTTATTATGCTCAAATCTGTCTCTTCTATGAATAGTGACGTTCATGTTAGGCAAGCTTAAGATCTCGCAGATGTTGATGTCCGGTATTAGCCATGTCTCGGTGATAGCCAACACATCCATGTTTGTAGCGAGGACTTGTAGCTCGTCGATCTTGTTGACAATACTTGGAGCGTTCATATAGAGACAATTGATATTTAACTGTGGTTTACCTTTTGACATGAGTTTTTAATATTGGTCGTTGCTTCTGTAGTGGGACCAGGATTTGGATGGATTAAGCCCACTAATTTAAGCCTTGGTAAGTTAAAAGAGCAGCACGAGTTGTTATAAAACGGTGTGCGGCTGCGATTAGATGATGTAGTTGTAAACAGCGTCTTAGTCGTCTAACGAACAATTCCAAGAACCGAATTTGTCCACGGACAGTAATTGCCAGTCGAAAAATCCAAACAAAGCCCACTACCGGTTTCTGCA